AGATCTTCCAGTTCCGACGAATTGGTACGACCACAGTTACAGGGTCTCGAGTTTTCCCGGCCACGACGTTAGTTACCTATTATATAAACGGTCAGCCAAAGATATCAATAATATTTTTGTAAATAAACATATCATGTACCTCATTGATTTCGGTTATTGCTTCTATCACGGGCAAAGTTATAAAATTTGATTGTTCTTTTTTAGATCGCAGCTCAGACATCAAATGTTCATTTTCTTGACTAATCTGAAGTGTGAGGCCGTTAATTTCAGTCAAAGACTTTTATTTAATAAATTTATAAAATACCTTTAAAAATTCACTTTCTAGACGTTTTATTTCATTCTCTTTTAGTGGTATCGTTTTAGCACGGATAATTGTTTTTGGGCTCAAATTATACCTAATAATACATATATAACTCTCAACAACGCAAACACACAAAAATTTCGCTTAAAATGACATAAAAACTTACATTGATGTAGGTTGAACAGAATTTTGACCGTCTTTTTCCCGTTGTTTTGCCTTTGCAATAAGCGCGTCAAGTTCGTTCAACTTTTCTGGTATATTGCGTTTTTTCAAAATAAGTTTGAATTCTTCCTTGAATGAGAGTAAGATTAATATACTAATAGTCAATCGCAATGCATATTACAGACTTCTTGCTAACCTCGACATTAGTTCTCAAAAATGTTAAAACTTGAGCATGAGCGTCATTAAGGCGTTTCGGTTTTTCTCTTGCTAAAGTTGGAAAGCACTGTGCCACCTTTGCGTAACTTTTAATAAAAGTCAGAACAAAAAGACACGTAACTAACTGAAATGAGGCACGACTAAGCAGACCTGAAGTTGTTTAATGTTTCTGATAAACATTTTTCTAAAAGTTTGTTAAGAGACCTTAAACGTGGCCCTTCTTGTGGCTGAGACATGGTTAAAAAAAAAAAAAAAAAAAATTGATTATATTTATTTTGATAGTCATGTGTATTATAGAATAGTTACGATGATTTTTTTGTAATCAATTTTTACTAAAGCACACCATGGTGTTCACCACATATCAAAACAAAATTTTTTTAAAAAAATTAAAATTTAGCTAATATTAGGGTTAGGGTTATTAGTTAGGATTGGGAATATAGGTTATTATAACCAAAATTTTGCAAAAAATTTTTTTTATTAAAATACAAAAAGTAGTTTCATAAGCAAAATTTTGAGTTATTAAAGATTTTTTAAAAAGTTAAAAAATATTTTGATTTATGTTATAATTCGGGCCAAAATTCGAAATAATGCTCATGGGCGTTATTACGCGAAAATACGGTACTTTTGTAATAAATATTTAAAAACCTTATGTTATTTATATTTATGTTGCGATTTGTTTTTTATTAGAAAAAGTAAAAATTTTTTATTTCAAATTTATTTAAGCAACAAACCTGAAAAAAGGATTTCATTTTAAAAATTTGGGTGTATATATATAATTTTTAAGAATTTTGATTGGTTTTGTTAAAATTAATTGTCTAGAGCATAATGTAGAACACTCTGTTTTTATATCTATATTTGATCTATGTTATTATGTGATTCTGTCTGTTTATTTTTGAATCTCTAATTGGTTGTCAATTACAAGCTTATTGATATTAATTATTTAGCTTTGGATATACAATGTTATATATTTTCTAGTATAACACCCCAATTTATAATAAAAAATAGTTTTTTAATATTTATTTGCATAAGTAATATAAACTTCTAAAAAGGAGATAGCCAATCAGAGTACACAAAATTTAACTGTTCCAAATCAGTCTGATATAAATTCTAAATATATATGAAAGAAAACTAGTATTAAAATTATTCTTGGTATACTAATTAAAAATATCAAGAACAATGATTTATTGTTATAGCTACTAATATTAATAATTTAACTCTATACTTCTATCTTTTTTTTACTTTAGCAATTCTATCTTTATTTATAAATCAGAAATAGATTACAAAATGCTCTCAATTAGCTAAACCTATATACAAATCGCTAAACTACTATATTCTTGTCCAAATAAAGATTTTTTAATCTATCTTATTATCACAATAAAACCACAGCCAAAGCCAAAAATTTTATGCTAAAGTATAACTCAAGAGCAACCTGTCTAAATAACAATTTTCTTTCTTCTAGGATTCTCAACTTATTGAGAATATAAGCCCTAGATGGAAGCATCAACCTTGTCAAAATTATCATTCTACAATAGAGTGCTGCCAATCTGATGATATTTTCTCATAGAGAAGTAAAAAAAAAAAAAAAGTAAAGGTGAAATAAAAATAGAAAAAGTAAAAAAAGAAAACATATAAGAAAACAACCAAACTAAAAAAGAATCTAAAAAACTATCTTAAAATCTAAAAAAACTTGTCTACAGATATAAAAACCTGCTAATCAGATAAAAAATTATCTATAGGGTGTGGCGACTTAGTGAAGTGGTGAAGTTGTCGCACCCCCAAGCAGTTGAGTACAAGTTCAATTCCCACTA